GATTCAAAATGCTACAGCTCTCTGAATATACAAGTCCAGCGATGTGGAGATAAGACTAATTTAAACTCAATTTACCCTCTATTGCAGGGGTGTCAAACTCAATTTCATCGCGGGCCACATCAGCATTAAGGTTGCACTCAAAGGGCCGGTTGTGGTTTTGCCTGTGCGGGTATGTGTGGGTGGAGGGAGGGAGGGGGGAGTGTAGTGAGTGTACTGTGATATTACAATATAAATGAAATGGCATCGATTATTGTACACTATATTGAAATAAAAAGACTTAAAAAGAAAAAAAAAAAAAAAAGGTCCGGTTGTAACTTTAAGACTATATATATATAATGTATAATGTTTTATATTACATTATTGCCTCTGCATTGGATTATTATCGGATAGGGTAATAACTTCATAATTAACTACGTCTGAGAGACACAAAATGAGATGCATTGTGGGACATGTAGTTTATGGACATCGTGCTTCTGTAAAGTGGCATGAAACCGTATAATAAACATATCATATTTTTTGCAAGCTCTTGCGGGCCAAATAGAATTAAGTCAGGGGATGGATTTGGCCCACGGGCCTTGAGTTTGACACCCCTGCTCTATTGTATTTTAATACCATATCACTTCACATTTGGGCTCATAATAGTTTTTTTATACTTAATTAAGTATAACGAGACTCCTCTGTAACTACTCTATTACAAACCACCCAAAGGATGCACCACCCTACCACAATGCCTTGCAGCTACATATTTAAACTTAATTGAAAGCTCTTTTAGAAGATAGCATGTCGAGCTATCTTCTCAATTCACAGCTCATAGCCTTTCATGGAAACATTCCAAAAACGTAATTTCTTTATAAGGCCCGCACATTTCAAACAACATATGGATAATGAATTGGAAGACTTCTGAAGCACTGCACTCCCTCGGTCCCTCCCTCTGTGCTCGCCTGAGTCTAACTGGCAGAGAAGGGGAAAAATGAGGGAAGTGTTAGAGACAAGACAGCTGCATCGGATCCCCAATTACTGGATACCACACACAGAGACCAACCTGCGTGTATGCTCAAACACACCCACCCACCCACACACACACACACACACACACACACACACACACACACACACACACACACACACACACACACACACACACACACACACACACACACACTCAAACACATACACAGCCTTAGACAGAAAGCACACAACTTACAAACAAACAGAACATGCACGTATACATTATGTATACACTCACAGACATCCTGGAGAGATGTAGGAATGATGCAAGTGTTTGTGTGTCGCAACTGTGGTTCAGTAGACATCAAACGGTGAGCATCCATAGGCTGACTGGGCTCCACAAGGAAATGAAAACACAGATCTGACGTTTGGGGGGCCCTCTGAGGACTGTCATTAACACTTCACAAACACACAAACACATATTAAGCACACAACCAGGGTGCATACAGAAAGTGTCATGCTTGCCAGAATTTGGCGCACTGACTTTCACATTGACATTCTTCCTTGAATCCTGACAGTCTGGAAAATACTGTCAATTTCAGAGGTCTTACTGTTCTTTTTGCATTGGATATCTTGGAAGGCGAAAAAAACAAATCTAAAGATGAGTTTTGGCAAAGAATCTAAGGACTTTCCATTTGTTGAAAAAGACACCTAGCTTGTCTTGAAAGCTCTTCTCTGGGAAAGTACTGCTGGCTTTGTAGCAGTGCTATGAAGCCAAACGCAATAGAGAGATACTCCTGGGTGAGTACTTTATGATATAAAAAACAACTTTAAAACACAAAGTAAATCCTTCAGCAGGGTTGTCTAAAGATGAACAAATATGGTTTTCTCTCTGAATTCCTAAAATACCAGCAGTGTAGGAAAAGTGTAAAATCTTGGAGTATAAGCACGGTTGTGCGCACAGGGAATCTGGATTGGGAGTAAAAGTGATGTCATACTGATGGAACTGTTAAAGGATGGGAAGACATAAAATGGGAATAGACATAGCAGACCTGAAAGTCCCATGTCATTCTGTTTATACAATGACGAGCCTCATATTTTCATAAATCACAGAAGAAAAAAAGTGAGTTTACGGAACTACAGATGTAGCTGTGGTTTATATCAATTTGTCAAGCATGTTGGAAAGTTGCTCCAGTGTTGCTTCACACTTTGAAACAAATGACATACTCAGCCCCTATTAACTTACTGTTTCTTGCACAATGGAGAGCAATGGATTACAAAAACACTCGTAGCATTACCATTATTGTAGCATTACTTTTTTAAGTATTTGAGTTGTGTCTCCTGTGTCCCTGCCGTTGGGTCAAGCACAAGTCCATGTTATTTCACGTAACCCCATCTTTTGCTGGAATCAATAAAATAACTCCTGTCGGGACTTTTAAACGGAACAGGACATTCTGAACTTTCCCTCTCCTCTGATTCCATGCTCCGCTTTACGTCCTCACTTCATCATCTGATCTATTATCAATACTTGTTTCCATTTCTTCATCGCAGTAGCAGATTGCTGCAGCTGTCTGGATCAAATGGAATTTTACCTCAGAAACAAAGGCCACCATTTTGGATGGTGCAGTGTTGTTGTAATTTGACATTTCCCCAAGGCCATGGTGTCATCCCTCTTTCCTCTCTGTTTCACTCCAGCTACATATTGTAACTGGAGAATAAACAGGTGGATTTATACATTGACGTCACACATTGATCTCACATGACACACAAACAAACACAGCAACTTGGAAGCATTGGATATACACACTGTTTGTTTTCCATTTTGTGACAACTGGCAACATGTTTTTTTCAAGATTACTAATGTGTCAGGCCAGGTTCCTCTCTCTTTTTGTCTTTCTCACTCTCTCTTTGCACTAACCGTCTGGAAATGTTTCACTTTTCTACCGGGAAAAACAACCTGCCAAAACACCGATGGTGCATAAGATCTTTTTCATGCATTCATACTCACTCACCGCAGTCACCGGGCACACTCACTCTCACACACACACACACAAACACATGAAGTTTGCATCACACCGAGGCAGAAGTCAACAAAGAGCTGGGTGTTGCCAGATGGTGTGCGTAATGTGTGTGATCACCGCCTTAGTGCTTTTGATCCGATGCGTTGAGTCGCGTGTGCGTCCACATGTGTGTTTGTCTTTGCGTATGTGTGTGGGCGATAAGTCCTGCCTTGTTTTTTCAGTGTTCTTTTTCTTCTGCAACAGTTGAATTACTCCCCAATCTGCAGGGCAAATACCTTGTTTAACCACAGCCATGACTTTGCAAGAATAAAACCAAACAAAGGTTTTGATTTTAGGCTTTCAGAATGAAATTGCAGGAAAATGTGTTAAAATTGAACGTTGTTTTCTGACACAATCAGCATTGGTTTTCCCTCTAACAATGTTAAGATCATAAGGCGCTCAGCTGATGCGTTATGTGTGATAACAGTCTTTAAAAGCCTTTTGTCTGTCTTTATTTCCAAAGCCTCCCGTCCCAATAGGGTTTGATGTGAAGCTGTCAGGCGAGCGAGTCTCTGTTCTCTTCTTCTCCCCGACAGTCTCTCCTGATGGTGACAACTAAATGATCTCTTCTTTATTAAACACCTCTTACTATCTCCCTATCGCTCCCTGACTACCTCGCTTCCTCCTTGCCTTCAGTGTCTCTTTTTATCTTTTGACTGACTGCTCTCCCTCTCCTCATCTATTTCTCATTCCTCCGAGTCTCTCTCCCCCCCCCCTCCCCTCATTTTATTCATTCTCTCTGCAAGTAACCTCCCCTCCTGCATCTTCTCCTGATTTCTCTATTTCTTGTTGACTGGTTGTTCTCTCTTTTTCTCTAAAAGGGATTAGGAAATATGCTTCCATCCCTCACCTGACTCCGGTCCGCTAGCCAGTCAGCCAGCTTGTCAGTCTGTCAATCTGTTTGATAGTCTCTCGGCCAGCCAGCCAGTCATTGTGCAGCAGTGTAAAAACATTAATGAAAGAGTCTCATCCACAGAGCTATGCAGTGATCCAGGCTGATCTCAGTCAGACTCCGCCCCCCCCCCCCCCCCCCTCTCTGTCTCTTTCTTCATACCTTCTCAGTTTTTTCTCCCCTCTCTTTCCAGGAAGACTGAAAGACTGGGCTGATAAGAGACATTATTAACTTCTCTCTGAGAACACAGAGCTGGAGAATGGAAGTGGGATGGAAGGGGATTAAGGGAAGATGACAACGAGAGAGGCAGAGGTGTCAAACTCAAGAAGGAGAGGAAGGTAGTGGAACGGACAGACGTTAGAGTTGGCAGAGCAGATTGAGAGGAATGGAGGTTGTATGTCTCTCTCCTATAGGCCCTCCAAGCAGGGTTGGCTGCCTCACATATGTCTTGTTATACTCATCATTTATGAGACGTTGCTGTCTGTGTTCTGAGGGCTTTGGGGGGATTTGAAATAGATAAGGACTGAATGGATAGATGGAAGCATAGATACAAAAATGTAACTGTGATAAGGTGGAGTCTCTTGCAGACCGTCTGAGAAATAGTTTTTTTATTTTATTTTATTTGATCCTCTTGGATTCAAAGTAAAAAAAAAATATATATATATTCTCTCAGAGGAGGTAGCATTTCTTGAATTTAGAAACTACTGTGTTCTACTTTTGCACAGTGGTGCTTTTGGCTAAATGCTACGGCAAGCTTGGCAACACACTACGACAATGCTCACACTGATGTAGAGCAAGAATATTCCCAAATGTCATGTCTTGGTTTGGAATGTAAGCATGCTAACATTTTATAACAAGCACTTAAAACAAAACCAATCTGAGGAAGATGGGAATGTTAATAATTCTGCAGAAGTTTGGTCAAAAAAGTGCTTACCGGACATTTTGACGTTTTAACATTTGAATGCTGCAAAGCTTCTAATTTTTGCATGTCAATTCCTTCTGCTTCGATGTCCAGTCCTCAGTCTGGATGACAAGTTAACATGATTCTCTTTCCTCCTGTGGTGAAAATGATGTCTCTGCTAAAGTTCATGTCAATTCATCCAATACTTGTCAAGGCACTTCACTCAAATTCGCAAAATGTGAACCTCATGGTGGCGCTGGATAAAAAGACAGGCGATCATTGGTTCATAAAGATTCGTCCTCTCATGGGGACCATGGATGGCTGTATAACAGAATCATTGCAATCAAGTTGTTTGAATATTTCTGGACCCAATTAGTGGATGAATAAATGAAAATATGTCAGACTGAGATTTTATACAAAACTCACCCATTTATTTATCAAGATGTTAAAAATAGCAAAACTTTTACAACAACTAATCAGAATATTTCATTGTTGTTTTTACAGATATGGTAAGATTGTATCAACGAAGGCCATCCTGGACAAGAACACCAATCAATGCAAAGGTGAGTGATTTTATTGCCCTGATTCATTTTGGCTATCTCAAGCCTTTCGAAGTTACTGTACACATTTGTATTCTGTTCACCAGCGCAGATTCTAAAATGAGATTTGAGTCTGGAAAACCAAAAATCAGTTTAAAATTAATTTTAACATGTGAACTTACCAGTAGACCCATTGGTGCGCCCTGGGGAGTGGTTTTTATGGTATGACTCCCATTTTTAACATCCCCAATGAATCAATGCCCATAGGCTTTTACAATGGGCTTAAATGTTTCAACACAGCAAGTGTGACATCAAATAAAAAGTTAGTTATTTTATAATAACTTGTACTGTTGAACAAAGTCAGTACTGTGTCTAGCTATGTGGAAAGGGTGTGTGTTGTATTGTATATACACACCGGTATTGACTGCCATAATAACCCTGTGATCCTGTAATCTACTGTATCTGAGAGCCGCACTGCTGTATCTTGATTTTGTTTAACTTCTCTATGATGATGATTTCAGGATTGCACCCGAATGATACTCAGAGTTAAACAGCTTTTGAAATCAAGATGTTAGCATTGTTGTCATCGGCCAAATCAAAACCGAGAACAGAACACAATATGTTTCAAATGGTCTCTGTGGTGAAAGGGGCTCACTCGAGTGTCTTCCGATGAGGGTCTGCTTGATTGTTGGAGTGGTCTGAACAAAGCACTAATCAATATGATTGTAGTCGTCTGTTTTTGAAGAGGCACACAAGAGCATGTGTTCAGCATGATTGCTGCTCATCTGCCGGGGCTGTACTCAAAGGTACGCTGACAGGGGTTTAGGACAACAGCACACATGCCCTGTAATCAGAGCATCGGCTTCAATAGCATGAGTGAAGGGATACCCAGTCAGATGATAGCGAAGGAAAATATGTTAATGCTATTCAAGACTTCATCTGCTCTGATTACCGAAGATAAACTTTTTTTTTTTGTCAATTATTGCAGTCCTGCCTGTCTCAACATAATAATATGAGCAACAAACTTTATTAACTCTTCTTCTGAGAAATCTTAAAAACTTTAGTTGTATAAATCTTAAAATCGTGATGATTCCATCACCTGCTTTGGCATTAAATGATCAAATATCCTCTGAAAGCGTATTGAAATGCCTAACATCATTACATCACAGCCGAACAGAAGGGAGAATATTTTATAAACCCAGTGATAATTATCAGTTTTCTTCCACTTTCTCAACTCATTAATTTTTTTCACTGCTGTTACTTAAAATGGAGTTTAAAAACCTGAATCAATACAACCTCAGTGGTCCAGCTCATGATTATTATGTTTGCCAATTATGGCTTCACGCTTCTTTGTTTGAGTATGATTTACCAATGCAAATGATCTGTTTTACCTCAAGAGCACATTGCAATTGCTAAGGCCATGTGGTGCTTATAAATTAAACCAAAACCAACCTTCATCTGCTTTAAAGTGATTATATTCTATTTTTGTTCTATTGTAAACAAATCATGGAGAGAATATCCTGGTTGTGCCTGTGTAGATCTATAGTGATATGGGTAACATTTGCTAAAGACCTACAGTGTCCCTTATATAAGAGTGTTTTTTTTGTCAAAGCAGTGAACCTGTGTGCTTGTGACAGTGTGTGTTTGAAAGTGAATAGGGGTATCCTTGGCACCGGTTCTGGCACTATACTCTGGATATACTCCAGACAAGGCCTTATAAATATTTAACACATATTTAAAAATGCAAACTGATACATGCAGCTGTAAATGTACGCTTATTATTTCATGCACACAATGCTTAGAATGCAGCATCTGCAGTTGAAGCAGCATAGGCGATTTTAGGCCGTGGCCCTCATCAGCAATTTGACTGCTTGTGATGTCGACTTCATACATCTCTCAGCCAGTTGTTAACTCACAATGAAGGAGTTTCATTATCAGGCGGCCATTAGAATGCCTTACAACCGGATAAGTGTTGGTTTGATTGCAGAGGCATTCAGTGGGGACAAGATAAGTGCTTAGCGTGACTAAGAGAGTACAAATTGGCACAGAGAGTTCTCAGGGAAAGGGAGGGATGGATGGGAGGATGGAGGGTGGGGGTAAAAATAACCCGGGGCTGACAGAAAAGGAAGGGGGTCCCGTTGAAACTGATGATTTAGCACACAGCCTCTGCTTTTCAGGAAGATTCTGCAGCGGGAGAAAGGGAGAAAGGTAGCGAGTGAGAGAGACAAGGAGACAGGTAGATGAATGAAGTCTTCTTCCTCTGCAGTCTGCAGGGATAGTGCTCGATCTGTTTGTGCACAGCTGTTGTCATGTGAGGCTCATGATCCCAATTTCTCTGATGGTCTTATTTCATCTAAATTGTGTGGGGTGCTGAGATGTAATGATTCAAACACTTCGAAAACCCCCTCAAGCCCAGTCCCTGAAAGGTTTGTCTCTGGAATCATACTGTATGTAAATATATCCAAAAATATGTTTGCTAGCCCTAAAAACAACCCTATCCTAAGAATAATCTTTTGATAATGCCTTGTCATTTCAGTGAACAAAGAAAGCAAAACCTCGGCTTTGTTCTCTGAAATAAAATAAAGGTTTTCTTTTGTAAAATCCTCAGCTTTGTAGCGGGCTCAATGTTAAACACACTGACAGTTTTCTAGTTAGCGGCGTGGGAGCTGGAGGGGAGGGAGAGGGCACAGAGCACAGGATGGAGGAAGGAAGGGAGAGGAAACCACTTTAGATTGTAAAGGATTTCCATTTCCCAAAGACAAGCGCCCTCCCTCTCACCGACTCCACGTCTCCCGCCTTTTCTCAGCTCTACTCCCCCCGTCCTGTTTTTTCTACTTTCAATTTTTTTTTCATTCTGCCTGCCACTCTCACAATCCCCCCCCCCCAAACTCATTGCGTCCCTCCACTCCTCCCTTTTTCCGTCTCTCTCGTTTTCCCTGTGTACTCGGTTAGCCCATTCTAATGGCCCAAGGCCAGGAACTCTGGGAGCTCAGGAGATTAAATGTGTGTGTGTGTGTGTGTGTGTGTGTGTGTGTGTGTGTGTGTGTGTGTGTGTGTGTGTGTGTGTGTGTGTGTGTGTGTGTGTGTGTGTGTGTGTGTGTGTGTGTGTGTGTGTGTGTGTGTGTGTGTGTGTGTGTGTGTGTGTGTGTGTGTGTGTGTGTGTGTGTGTGTGTATAATTATGTTTATCTGTGCATCCATCTGTGTCTATGAGCGCATGTGAGTGTGTATTCACATGGGAGTGTGCTTCGTAATAAAACGTTTTTATTTTTACATTTGTCGGGCCTGACTGAGCAAGATGAATTGTCATCACTGTGTCATCATAAGGCCACAGATGGGTGGGTCAAGGCATGAATGACAAGGATTATATTATTCAGATAAATTATTTTCATTTTTGTTCTTGAAATATGCTTATCATTGTGCCAATAACAGCTATCACTTAACATCCACGTGAGAGAAGTACGCTTTAGCGTACAGGTCATATGTAAATGTTCAATTAAAAGGAAGCGTGGCGACATGATTGGGGAACTGTCAATCAGCTTGGTAGGCAGGCATCTGCTCACAGACTCAACAAGCTTGCACTCAGCTGAAGTGTCCTTGAGCAACACAATGAATCCCTTCCAGCTCCTGGGGTGTGTTCTGCCCCTGATACTTGACCTTTGACCTTTCTGGAGGGAGTGGCACATCAGTTTCAGAGAACACAGATTGCTCCTTGAGTGATGAATACAGTCAAGCCAATGGCACATTTCAAGGCTGATATTCTATCATAACAAATTTGTCAATGAGATGAGAAATAAAATGTCTGTATCATGCACGTCTCTTGAATGCTGAATGGTGTATGGCTAAAGGTGTTTTCTGCCCAAGCTGTCACTCAGACAGGACTCATACAGTATGTGCCAAATATAGATAACATGCCAGCAGCTACAGAAACTCAATATTTGGTTTTTTAGAAGATATCATGAACAGTGCTCCTGAGACAATGACTCTGGTACTGTAATACTACATACACATTTAAAATAAGCTCCACAGTTGATCGGGAAATCACTGTAAACAGAGAAGCTCTATGAGGTTGCCTTTGGTTACATTGCAGATTAAAGTCTCAAGCCTTTAATGGCCTTAAACCTGCACATTCGATTACAAGTAAGTGCTCTGTTCCAACTCTGAAGAATCAACTTAACCATATGTTATCCTCCATTGGTGATTGTGAATATTACAAGCACTGAGTTCAACTTCCATGACATAAACTGCCTTGTTGGGTAAATATTCAAATAAAAAAAATGGTTATACTGTAAATTACATGTTTGTAGCCTTGTTATTTAGTCTCAGTTCAAATCTATCTACCTCAAATAACTGAACATTAGTTATTAAGGCCACTCACGGAGAGTAAAACGGCATGTTGTATGCAGACCTGTTGTTTCATAGAACCCTCTGCTGCTCTCATAAAACGCAAATATAATAATGCATAATGAATGTCATGCTTACATATTAAAAAGGAGGAAATGGAAGTGGTTGAATAAAATAACAAATGAATTGCTCTAATTTGAACAATGACAAGGTGCTGTCCAGGATTGTTATTCTCTCGTCAACTCTGATTTGTTTTACATAGAGGCTTATGCATCTCAGTGATGAATAGAAACCTTACTTATGTGAAATGATATGTTGAGCTCTTGTAAAGGTGTGTGTGAGTTTTTTGGCTGGCAAACAGAAAAGCAATACAGCTTTTTTTTTTCTTTAAGTGTATTCCACCAAACTAGGATTGCATACAGCATTGTAATACTCTTGATGGACGGTTTAAAAAATAAAGCATCAAAATAAAACCATAAATATTGTCTTTTTCTATTCTAATAAGTCATATATTGCTTCCCACATTACCCACAATTCAATTAACGATTTGAACAAATATCAAGGTTAACAATTACAAGTGGTAAAATGATCTTAAGCGGCTAGCCTCAAGCAGAGATGAGTGGTGTGCTACAGTGATCTGTGAAGCTCACCTCTTTCTACCTCTATCTACATGAGTTTTCTTTTCATTTTCACACTTATCTTAAAAATCTGTGCAAGAGCGACATCACTTGAGGCCTTTTTAGATTTCAAAGCTACCTTTGGAGCCACACAACTTTTGTTTTAGTCAGGCCGTGAACAGTTCAAGACCTACAGTATGAACAGACTTTGATGTATTCATTATTTGAATTCCTCTTTAAAACAGGAGCTGTCTATTCCAACAACCATGTGTGCTGCCGTCAACCAAAGTTTTGGACCAGTGGTAATTCAATTATCCATTGTGAACTGTGTTTTGACAGTCTATTGTTAAATAAACCATAGACTGTCCAGCCACAGTTTCAGTGTGAGATTTGAGAAATGGAACTGATTACATTTTCTGGAAATAAAAAGGAGCATCTAGCCCGGCCAGTGATGGATGCTGTGTGTTTGTGCTCAATTAGTTTGACTGTTTTGGTATGGCCTCAATTAGATAAATATAGATTAAAAATGTCTACTGCATACTTTATCACAGTCGTACATGTGTGCACATTAAATGTGTACATGTGTGTGTATGTGTGTATTCCTATTTTGGCTAAATTATGGGTTTCTCATTAGCAACATATACATATTTGGGCGTGCGGTACATATCTTGCTGTGAAAGCAGATTGCTGCCTTTGAACAATAAAAAATCATCTGCTTATCAGCAAAACAGAACAGGCTCCAGATTCTGCAAGACGGGCAGACAAGAACAGATGTTAGGAGTGAAGTTTGTGCATGTGTGTGTGTGTGTGTGTGTAAGTATGTGAGAGGGGAAAAATAAATTGTATTGCCTCATTCTTAACATGTTTACATTTAAGATTGTAATGAGGCTTTTGAATTGTGGATCATTTAATTGTGTTAACAACACGCAATACACTCAAAACTACAGTTGGAGTTTCAAAGCTGCTGTGCTCTGAATATTTCTCTTTCTGGCTCAATGCATGTGTGTCTATACGGCTTATTTGAATAGTCTCTAACACAAACCTAGAGTCAAAAACATTCCTATACTAACAGTCTGTCAGTTTTGCTCAGCTATACCAAACACACTTGCAGGCAAACTGCCATTCAAAATGCAGACAGACTTCGTCTCTTTTGCTTCTTTCTGTCTTTTTGACATTTTTTCAAGACCTAGGGACGCGAGCCAGTAAAACAGGGCGTATTTCTGAAAGTACAGATTGATGTGTGTGTGTTCGGACCTTTTGTCCTTCAGTGCTTCCTGCAGGGCCCAGACCTAGATCCCCAGAGCGTCAGCTATTTGACAGCTCCAAAAGCAAACTTGCACGCACTCACGCACGACACACACACACTCACGCACGGCACACACACACACACACACACACACACACACAATGACGCAGACCATGATGCAATAAAATCGTCTAATGCTCATACTCTTTGTGTCTTATTTCGTGAAACATGAGTCTGAATCACTTTAATGACTGCATTAAATGTAGAGAATTGTTCTTGATGTCACTTGTATTGGCCTCTACTGTAGGAGCCCCATGAGTACTGACAGATGTAATGAAGCACAGGGAGGAAACAAGCTCATTGCAGTGGGAGATTAAATGTAGATTTCACATGTATAGGAAAGGATTACCCCAGCATCGCGTCCCTACACACATCATAGCATAGGGAATGAATGATGAGCTGCATACATTAGTGCAATGAAACACATTAGAGCCATTACCAAAACATCGACATGATTTCATTAAAAAGAGCCAAAGTACACAAAAACTTGTGCAGACATTAGAAGATTTCTTGGATCATAAAAAGAGATAGCTAGAGTTACTGTTATGACACCAATTCTGCTGATGTTCTGTGCTAAAACACATTTGATGGGAGGAACTAGCAGCTTTCATTAAATACGTGACCTGACTTGATTTGGACTCATTTACGGGATTTATGCAGCACTGAAAACCAAACAAACACAACGGCTGGTTTCGCTCAGTTATTCAGAACATTAGCCGATATTCTTTATTGTTTTTTTTCTCCTCCTCCTCCTCCTCCTTCTCATCATCATCCTCTTCTGTGTTGTCCCTGTGTGTGTACAGGCTATGGATTTGTGGACTTTGACAGCCCTGCAGCAGCCCAGAAGGCTGTGGCCTCACTCAAAGCCAGCGGAGTCCAGGCACAGATGGCCAAGGTAAGCTTCATCCTCCACTGCCTGGTTTGCTTTACGTGTTGTTATTGAGGTGTTTTGCTTCCTTGTGCTGATATTCTCCAGATACACATAATCACTGTCTGTGAAGTCTGAAGAAACCCAAGGGTGCTGAGGTTATTTGTGATGCTAATGATACTTGGGACACCAGTGTTGATAATCATAACAAAGATATCACTGGATGGTCTCTACGTATCAGCATTGATTCATGGGAGACATAGATGCAGCTTTAATTCAGTCATGAAGGAATTATTGATTGAGTTCATATAGAGATATTGTAAACGGCTATGGTCATGATCATAATCCCAAAACAGATGGGAAAAAATAATGGATCAGATTATCTTCGGAAGTTATCAACGCATTATTAAATCATCCCTTTATTAGTTGGGATCACTTCCATTTGTATGTGTCATAAACACATGTTTAATGTTGTGGATTGAAACAAAACAATTTGGTTAGGTTTGGAAAAATGTTATGTTTTGGGGTAAAATAGGTAAGTAAGTAACATACATAGGTTAAGTATTCAATGTACATTTCATAAGTTAAGCATGTTTTGTATTGTACGTAAAAAACAGAGATCCCCTCTGTGAAAGTCCTGTATTTTTTTTAATGGATGTGTTTTTTTGAGCCACCTATCCACTCTGTCCTCCTGCCTGCACAGACATGACTTCCTCATTTGCTCTCGTCATAATTACTACGCCATCCTAATTATATTGAACCCCCCTGCTTTAATCGAGTTTACCAATGGACTACAATGGCCTCAGTAAGAAGGGAGGGCATGGCGAAACCAACTCAAATCTATTCTCCCAATGACAATTTATATTGACCATTCAATTGACTAGTTCTGTTTGATTTGTGTTTGTATTTATAGTTGAAGGTGTGTGTGCAAATGCTAGAACAAGGCTGTGCCAGAACATGTGGGCCAGACCAGCACAATCCCATTATCCTTCAATGGGTTTTGAGAGAAAGCACTGAATATCCTGCCTTGCTTTCCGATTCATTAAAGCTCCATTGCTGCATACTTCCTTTTTATAAATGAGAGAAGAGTGCAATTAAAATGGGCCAGTCTTCAGGCACCAGGAACATCCCATTGAATTAAACAGCAGCAAGCCTCTGAGCCACCTTTGCCTTGCTCTTCTATTAAACCTCTTTTCATTAGACTTCCATCTCTTATTTTGTGTCTAACGGCTTGAGGGGGCATTTGAAATAGCTGTGTTGATGTGTTTAGCTGTTATTAAAGAGAGGAGAACCCTCGACTCCTTGGAGATTGAGTTTTCCGGAGGGAAGGAATTGAGGGCAAGGAGTCAATTCCAAATGAAATTACACTGACTTCTTACTGTTTCATGAACTAATTATGCTGCAAGATGCTGATGTCCCTGCTAACTTTCCTGAATCAGGGTGAGATGAGAAAGTCTCAAAAATATGCTGTTGGGTTTCCAGCTCAAACCTCTCACATTGTGTAAGATGAGCAGTTTAATTGGGGTTGGTCTAGGTATTAACACATTCAGTACCAATTAAACTGCCATGCTATTTCCCAAATCCTTCTCAGAGTACGCTGAGGTTTGCTAGGTTAGCTGGGGGTGAAACTTTTGTTTGTTCTAATCGGCTTGATAATTATAAGCGTTTCCACTAAAGACAGCATCGAGGTGGCATTAGGAAGAGACAAAAAAAGCTTTTGTGAAAGAAAGATGTACAATGGAGTACATTTTGCAGCCCGGTAGGGGGGTTATATTCCGTGGAAAAACACAGAATTCATGAGGTTCAAATTAACAGAAAAACAAGACTTGAATAAAAACTGTTCTTTGCCAAGTTTTATCTCGCAAATGTATGACCTTATAATCTTAGAGAATATTTTAAAGTTTTTTCGACGTAAATGTGTAGGTTTTCATTGCTTCATGATACCCACCGTTATTTTTTGACTACCTCAAAAGGCACAAAAAAAAGACCCAAAAATGATAACATTTGTTTTGCCCAATTACAGATTATAGATGTGGTGTATTTGCAGCATATACAAAAAGAAAGGTTAACACGTGTATGTGCTACAGCTTCATAGCCTTGTAAACTGTTGTTTTACGGAAAACTAAAGGCTGTTTGGTGTGAATGCATAACAATTGTAGTTTTGGATTTAATTGAATTAATTAAATATTATCGGATAACTATGGTAGAGTTTTTTACAAGAGTGACTGAATCCTTAATCTTATGCATTGTGCAGTAGTACTAGCAATAGGATCAGCAGAAACACATTTACAAATAGTTTATAATAAAGCTCTGTATTGTCTTTTGGAAATATAATCAGTTCTCACACCCTTAACCTGAACCTTATAACAGAACCAAAGGAGGTAGACATGTTAGACATGGAGCTTATTAGATTTCCACAATATCTTCACTTTTCTACCATCACACTTAAAGAAGTCAATATCATCACTTATCCACGCTGCAGAGTTAATACCTTGTAATACCTTTGTGGTTTTCCTCACTGCCTCACAAAGGTGGCTGTATTATATAAAACTGAGAAACACATTTTATTAAAAGTATGGGGATTTAAGAGATGGCTTAAATTAGAGTGAAAAATAGGTGTAATAAGAGTTGGAATCAGTGTTTGAGTGGAAAGCGTGTTAACACAGTCATTAAATGTTTTAGATACTGAGGTTACATAAATAAAACTGAACTACTGTACAGATATTAATATTTAACCAAAACATAAGTCAAGCGTGTGTTTACAGAACTACAAGCATGATAAGTACATTTGGGGTAATCATTTAGGCTTCAAAGGAAGTGAATATTCCAATAATCATTGAGCAATAGTTAAACTGGGAGCAACAGGTAGTTGCTGGGTCACCACTTCAGCTTAAAATCGAGGTAATTTGGATTAAACCAGGAAGTTTGATACTCTGCTGCATCGGATGGAGAGCCAGACATGTTTGAAACTTCCCTTAGGAACTACGAAATAGTGCAGAAGTAGCGTAAATGTTTGTATGATGCAATGCAGTTAAAGGCAACCGGCAAGTCTCCAGAGCTACCTTTAGGCTTTAGTTGAACTTGCTTCCTCATTTCCTAGACTAGAGCTTGGGCTTTAATGGCACATGAGGGAAAGTATTGTTTTACAGAGGTACCATTAGCCATTTGTTCGTGCCCTGAGAGGAGTGATTATGTGTGAGGATTTGATAATGAAAAGTCCCTCCTGCAGGTATTGTACATTGTGCATAAGCAGATTCATCAACCACATCAATGTTCATACACCGGGCAGCGTCACAGCCAAACAATCAATGTCCTGCTGGGTTTACCTTTTACAAATATTCTAAAATAGCAATAGGAGAGTGTCAGAGGTCTACAAATTCAACTGCCAATCTCAAGTTAACCATAATATAGGCAACTTCCTGACACTACCCGTGAATTAATGATTGCACAGTTAAAGGGGATTAGACTGTCGGTGTATATATAATTGTATTCACTGTGAGAAACCTTTATCCAATAAACCCTGCAGCTTGCTCTGACATCTTCTTTGTGATAGGTGCATGTTTTGGTTGTGAAATAAACGAGACAAGAGGAAAAATACAGCAAGCCGAGCTGTGAAGAGGGAAGAAACTGTGTGTGTGTGTCCCACACTCACTTCCTCAGTTTTCTTGGTAATTACTGTTGACCTGAAAGATGATTGCTGCTACAGCTGTACTCCCCCTCTCTCTCGCCTGCTCACTCACAGTTAGTTTTCTGTCTGCCTGCCTCATTCTCACTTTCTGTCTCTGTATCCGCACACTGAATCCTCATTTAACTTAGTGTTCAAATTCATCCTCACACCTAAACTTCCCATTACCTATTGCACCATTGAATTTACTTGAGAGAGAAATGCGATGAGTATATGTCTGTTTCTCTCCATCTAATTCTATATACTTCTTCTTTTTGAAAATGAATCCTGCCTTGATAAACCAATTACGTACTGAACTTTCAGAAAAAAACAACAACAATTTATCCAGTTAAATGTATTATGTAAAATCTTGATATCTCACAAGACGGGTCCAAATTACTGTGCATTAAAAAACATATCAGGTGCTACTTTTACTACGCAAACACTAGAGAAATGCACACTCTGCTATGCATATGAGCAATTGTGTGTGTGTGTTTTCCTGCGTGTGTCCGTGTGTGTGTGTGTGTGTGTGTGTGTGCGTGTGTGTGTGTGTGTGTGTTCCTGTGTGTGTGTGTGTGTGTGTGTGTGTGTGTGTGTGTGTGTGTGTGTGTGTGCGTGCGTGTGTTCCTGTGTGTGCGTGTGTGTGTGTGTATGCGTGTGTGTGTGTGTGTGTTCCTGTGTGTGTGTGTGTGCGTGTGTGTGTTTTCCTGTGTGTGTCCGTGTGTGTGTGTGTGTGTGTGCGTGTGTGTGTGTGTGTGTGTGTGTGTGTGTGTGTGTGTGTGTGTGTGTGTGTGTGTGTGTGTGTGTGTGTGTGTGTGTGTGTGTGTGTGTGTGTGTGTGTGTGTGTGTGTGTGTGTGTGTGTGTGTGTGTGTGTGTGTGTACAATAACAGTTCCAGAGGACCAAGGTCACTATGCTAATTAGAGAGATGGTACCACTGGCAGTGACACTTCACACCTCTCTCCCTTTCTTCCTCTCCCCTCCACGTTGTCCTTGGACCCTCCCGACATTCTTTCCCCTTCTCTGTCTTTCTTTTTTCATACCTCCTCTTATTCCCTCGTTCTTTGGCCTAGTTTGTTCTCTTCATCTACCCTCCTCCCCTTTCACCAACCTCCTCACCCTTTCTCCTCTTTTTCTGTTGTCCCACTCCCTCCTCCCTTGTTTGTCTGCAGCAGGTGCTGCAATGCCTCCTCCAGAGTCATTAGTTACAGGGTTGAGTGAGGACAGATAGTGAAGGATAGCGAGAGAAAGAGGGGGGGAGTGTGTGTGGGTTGATAGAGGAAGGTTTGATGAAAGAGAGGACGCACGCAAACATAAAGTAAACTTTGTTGCATGTCATTTATCAACGCTGATTAAACCCTTCG